TACCCCCAAATGGAGCATCATATGGAGAAAGAAATGGAAAGATAGTGCTGGCAAGATAGCTCAGTGGACTAAGTGCACAGGGATGAGGGTTCGATGCTTGGTACCACATGCCGTGCCGGCCCTGTCCTGGGTGCGCTGAGCCAGCCACCAAGACCTGTAATCCCAGCTCTGAGGAGGCTAAAAACAGGAGGTCACTATGAGTTCAGGCTGCATAGTGAGACCCTATACCAAATACATTAAGGAAGGAAAAAAGGAAAGAAGGAAGGAGGGAAGGAGGGAGAGAGAGAGATAAAAGAGGGAAAGATTTCTCTGTTTAAGATTTACCAAGTATCAGTTGGCCCATGCCAGTTGTCTAGTCTGCAGCAGAAACTTACACTCACAATACTCAAAGCAAGAAACTTCACTGGCCCACCATGTGTTCCTCCACTCAGTGTTACAGAACTTCAGTTCTTTAGCTTTCTGTTGCAACCATGAGTTTTTCCTAACCTGTGTCCTAGAAGCCCAGTTAAAAACCGATGCAGTCCTATTATCTGCTTCTCTCTCTTTTTTTTTTTTCCTCTGCATCTCGAGAACCTTACCCAAGGCTCTTTTATTTAAGTCTTGGCCTTATTTAAACTGAACCACTCTGCTTGCTCAAAAATCCCATTGGCTTCACTTACTGTCCTGCTGCACAGAACTTGACTTCCTCTGCCAGTCTTTCAGTCCAAGAAAGACTGTGGTATAGCAATGTAAGATAAAAAGTAAAAACAAGGCAGAGTAGCCCCACAAGAGCCTGCTGTCCTAATGCAGGTTTGAAGTTTGAGGTATCTACTTTCAGCCCTGGAGATGAGTACCAGGACCAGATCCTATTCATGAGAGGAACGACAGCAAAATAAGAGCTTTGTCCTCTCTGCCTGCTGCTGGCACCAAATACAGTCTGGGAGTCCCCAGTTGATATCCCAAGCACCACATCCTGCAAATCCACAGGGATGTTGCCCTAATCAATAGGTCACAGCTGGTTGTGCAGCTTAAAGAACTGCTTTCTCTAACCCTAGACATTGGCCTAGCAAACCCCAGCCCTATACATATAGCTGTCTTCTCTTGTGCAAAATGATTTGCCATCCCAAAGGACTCTATGTTAGGGTTCCCTTGAACAGATTTAATATTAAATATATGTATGCTTATACAAAGGACTTACTAGTTGGCATACAGATCAGAAGCAGAACAATCTGCATAGCTGCTAGACTACAGGTGCGATAATACAAAATAGTCATCTGTGTCCCAGAGCACTACAGCCTGCTGTGAGTCTGGGGAAAACCCAAGTGTCCACAGTGGGAGACTGAGGAGCTGGAACACTGAAAGGCAGTAGTAGAGACTGGGGCATCCTTGCAGAAGAAAGTGGCAAGCTTCCTTCTTTCCCTTTCATTCTGCAGTTCGCAGCCAGTCAGTCATACCGAGCTTGCCTGATCCACTAGATGGTTCTTACTCAGGTCAGGCTGGCACTTCACAGTGCACAGTCACAGGTCCTGTGCCTGTAAAAATGCCCACTTCAGGTCCCAGACCAAGCTGACCTGCAAATGAATCCCGTTATCTAGTTAAATGATGCCTAATACTGGCTACACATTAGTCATTGAGGTCAGAGCTCCATCCTAAGAAACTCCTCATACTCTGGCATGGACCTGCATACTGCACTTTCTAAAGGCACCCGGGTGAGAATGACTCCGCAGCCACTGCTGCACTGTGATGGCCTGCTCCTGTGCCAGGGCTCTCATGCAGTCATTCTTTTTCTTTCCTTTTTTTTTTTTTTTAAAGTGTATTTGGTATACGGTCTCACCACACAACTCAGACTCATAGTGATCCTCCTGTTTTCAGCCTCCTGGTGCTGGGATTACAGGTGTGCACCACCACTCCTGGACTCAATGGCCAGCTCAGCGAGCCCAGGGCAGGGCCTGCATGGCATGTAGTGCTGGGGATCAAACCAGGGTCTTTGTGCTTTCCAGACAGGCGCTTAGTCCACTAAGCTATCTCCCCTGCCCTCTCTCAGTAATTCTACTTCGTTATTTCCATGTTCAGCCCATACCCTCTAGATCCCACTCCCCAAATTCCAATCCCTTCAACATGTACTCATTCCAATTCTCTTCTGGAATCAATACTGAAAAAAGAACAGGGGGAAAATGGAGGGGGAGTAGCCCCCAACCCCTGTTAAATCCAGAAACTCTGAACTGCTGAGTACCCTGCACTCCTGCTTGTGTAATACCCATATCGTTTCATGCTCATCATCCACTGCACTTGCCTCCACTGAGATGTCAGCACTCAAAAGCTGGAAGGTTGCCCATTACCAAGCCTGCGTTCTGTGAATTATTGATTGAATGACCGAACGCCTGCACAGATGGAGGAAAAGAACCATTCCATCGTTGGAGTGGGAAAGACGCAGTCATGTTCCACTATGTAACATGCACAATTGGACCAGCAAACAAATTCCATGAAGACTTCACAATCCTGCATGAAATTCAACAGGCACTTTTTCCTTTTAAGCACAGTTTTGCTTCTTTACAAGGCATTTAAACATTTGCCATCTCCCTATTCTCCATTTTAATCTTAGACTGCCCACACAGCAGCAACTTGATTATCCCCAATTGCTGTTATGCCTGTGAGCCATTCCTATTTTCCAGCTCAGCAGCAGCCTAGTCATTAGGTTCCTTCTTACAATAACAGTAGGAAACATTCCAGCTCTACAGCAGAGTTGAGAAAGATTAGTGAAATGTGCGGGAAATCCTTCCTTACTCATTTTCTGAATCCATGATGTTTTAAAAGTACTGAAAACTGAGACTGCTTACCCACAAGGCCCTTTGAGTAATATACTATTTATCTAAGAAGCTTTGCCTAATGGGAATCGTACCACTGCACGTGAAAAAAGGCAGCAAGGGTGTTTCCATAATGATATGGTTGCAGAGACCACATGCACTGCCTGGACCTGCCTATACATGAAGGGTGAGTAAAGCTGGGGCCTCCAATCCAAAGCACTGGGATTCAAGGCAAAGCATGAGTGAAATCCAGGTCCCCTAGTGTATGTGACACCCTTCAGAGCGCAGGAGCATGACTCCTCTCCAACATTCATTATGATTAAGGATCCAGTCTAGGAGTTTGAAACCAACACAGGAGTTGGAGTATGAGCACCTTTTTTTTTTTTTTTTTTTTTTTTTCCCAGAACCGGGAATTGAACTTAGACCCTTGCGCTTGCCAGGGAAGCGTTTACTCCACTGAGCCATCTCCCCAGCCCCTATGAGCACCTTTTGAGTCTCAGGTTACTGCAGAGGATTGTGGGTAGGAGGACTGCCTGTGCCGAGATCCACTTGTGTTACTTGTTTGGAAGATCCATAGGATCCCAGTCCATCCACATGTGTTCCACCTGATACAACAGCTAGTTTTCTAAATATTGGCCATGGACTGTCTAAAATCATCTGTGGAGTGTTTTCACAATACATATTCCTAGGTGACCTTGTGGTGCATACCTGTAACCCTAGCATTATAGAATGCTGAGGCAGGAGAATCACCAATTCAAGCCTAGACAAGGCAGCTTAGTGACTTAAACCATGTCTCTAAACCAAGGAAAAAAATGCTTAAAGGTTGGTTAGGTAGCTCAGTATAAAGGCAGTAGGTTCATTACACAGTAACAGACACAAATCCTGAGTCCAAATAAAGCACAGTCTCAGGGACTATGGCTTTGAACTTATCCTGACTAAGCTACTCAGCTAGTTCATTTAAATCCTAAAGTTTACACTTCTGTTTTGAGAGCTTATTAGAGTAACCCAAAAAGGAGAAATAGTCATTTCTCACAAAGGATCTGAGATTAGCTTTCCATAGTGTAATGAAAAAGAACTTGGAAGCATACCCAAAGAAGAGAGATAGGGCACTCTCCAGGAAAGGAACAGGCAGAATAGCCCAAGAACCAAAGAAAAACTTTCCTTCATAGTTTTTTCCCATTTTAACGGTCATTTGTAATAGCTTTGTTCAATTTAGCCAACATGTATGGAACCCTGACCATGTGCCAGGCACTAGGAATAAAAAGAAATACAAGAGTATTAGCTCTTGGGGAGGAAAGGTAAGCTCTTCCATGGGTAACTTAAATAAACTTGGTAGGGCCAAGGACTGAGGTTCACACAAGACACTTAAAGGGCTGAGAAGCAAGAGTCCCAATGGAGACTTACTCTTAAGGGAGTAGCAAGAATATAAATAGCATATCAGCAGTTAAGGGGATACATAGGAAGGGGAGTAGGAATTGGTAGAAATTGAGTATGTTCTCATCAGAAGGTGACCTACACCAAGGTTCAGCCCACTTGGGCAGGATGATGTCTGGGGAATGACAGGCCATTCAGAGCTGGGCATCATCCAGCAAAAGGAGCAAGAAAGGTAGTGGAACCTGGAGAAGAAGCTATGGGACGGGTTGGGGACATGCACACATCAACATAATGTTCATGAAGTCCTGGTGTGTGCAGCACCCAAGAGACACCTTGGATCAGACCTTGAAATTTAGTCTATTATGGTTGTTGCAAAACACTGCTACAACCAGAGGATGAACCCTCTCTGTGACACATAGAATTGTATAACTAGTAATTTGACTGTTAATATCAAAAATTTTTCAATTTAGATCTAAGATTGACTCTTGTAGCTTACAAAAAACTAGTAATAGCAACAACCTTGAAGATAGACACAAGGAACAAAGGTAGAAAAAATTTATTTCCATACATCCTCATAAACTGAATTTCTGTTATTTGCCATCTATATCTATTGTCTATCCAAAAAAAAAAAAAAAAAAACACAAGAGAACTAAAGAGACACATTTATCCCATAGCTTAAAGTTTTTTATTATCCAACCAGATTGATTTATGACCCAAGTAATAACATTTATACAAAATTGACTGTAGAGGTAACATCAAAATGGTTTTGTCTTGCATAGCCTGAGAAAAATGGACTGGAAAACTCTCTTGTGCACCCTCTATAACTCTTGCCATTTCCCTCAGTTTGCAGCACATCTTGTGAAGATGAAATACCCGAGGGTCTGTATTCTAGACGGGGGCATCAACAAGATCAAGCCCACAGGCCTGCTCACTGTCCCGTCTCCTCAGATATGAAGAACCAGGAACGTGGCTGGCGAAGGAACACAGTGGCTGCAACAGCCAGCAGCACAGCTCTGCTCAGCTATGTCATCCAGGACGGCACATCCCAATGATCACATTTCCATTAATCTTTGCTGCAAGGCATATTCATAAATCTCATAGCCCAAACGCTGGGTACCCATGCAAGGAACTTGATAGTACATGCATTGCTAAAAGAATTTTCTTCACAGTGAAACCTAATCGTGTATCTTCAGCACTCTATGACATAAAGCCAGAGGAATTTGGCTGACAAGGCAGATTTAATACTATCAAGAAATGCCACTTGTGCTGAAAATTGGTCCTTCATCACACAGAATAGACAGTCCTAAGCAGGGGTTATTTAGGTGAGTTGTGTGTGTAAGTGCTCACAAGTATGTATATGTGTCCATATGCATGTGTTAAAATGGACCAGAGTTCAACCCATTGCAGAAAGTGGCAATAATTTACTCCCAGAAAATAAAACAGGAACACAGTGGCCATAACAGCCAGCAGCACAGCTCTGCTCAGCTATGTCATCCAGCCAGCAGCACTGCTCTGCTCCCTATGTCATCCAATATTTGATAGAAGGTGTTCACATTCTGTGCAGAGGCACCCAAGTGACTTAAACAGGTGTCTAGTTCAGCACGTCAGAGTCTACATGGCAGCCCAGCTGTAGCGTAGTGGCTTCACCATACCCTACCCAGGTGTGCTCCTCCTGATTCTCCACCCTCAGCATTTGGCACCATCTCCTGGATGAAAGTGACCACTATCAAATGTGCCATCCAGTGGGAAGTGAATGAAGGACAGAGGGAAGAGACTAGAGAAGGAAAGAAAAATATATGGAAGGATAAGTAAGAGAAGTAAGAAGGAAGGGAGCCATGCTTTCTCCTTAATAAACAGAAAGCAGAAGCCACTCACTTCTGCTCACACAGCATTCGGTGGAACCGAGGGAGCAGGTGACAGTCTCTGGCTTATGCTGTCTCCCAGCTAAAAGGAAAACCTGTCACTATGAGGGACAGCCAGGAGCCTCTGTGATATTATTTGGAAGCCTAAGTACCATTATGCATTGAATAGAGGACATCATAATTTTATATACCACAAGGAAAGAAAACATAGAGCAGGATAGACTATGACACACCAGCAGTTATATGATATAATCCCATTTCAGAAATCTGAAAAATTGACACATCTCATAATTACTGAGATATATCATTTGTGTTCCAGATTTGCTTTAAATTCAAATGTTCTCTCCTCTGTAACTTACATTCACTTCCAGTGTGAAGAGTACCTCATCTGAACATTTCAATAAAAATCTCAAACTAATGTTCTGAGCCGTGGCTTTTTTTTTCCATGATTTTATTGAGAAATAGCAATAAGACAGTTTCAAATCAAATTGGCAGGACAGTTCCAATAATTAACACATTACATACTGCTTCCTAGTGGTTATTTGTTGTACAAGATGCAGACATGATATCCTATTTACAAACACAATTAGAACAAATTCCTCCATTCCTTGAATTAAGAGAATGTAGCAATATATCTATCCTAACAGATACAAAATGGTCATTCATCTATATCCCCTTTTCTTGTTTAGTGCCATCATTTAAATATTATAGGTATGTGAACTCAACAAAATATTCCAAAATAGTCAAGTAGTCCATAATAGTACTAGGTCTTCCACTTGACTAGCAATGTCAGAAGTTGTTGACCTGAGTTGCCTACAGCTCAATATAACAACATGGCTTTATTTCTTGTACTTCATTTTTATACTTTTCTGCCAGATGGTTAAGACCAAGATAAAGCAAGACCTATGTAACAAGAGGTATAGCTTTTGGATCTGATAAGGTCAGTCAAATCCCCTCAGGATTTATCCTGAGAACCTGTACCTCAGATTGTAGATCCTTTGTCAGTGTCACCCATGTGGATGAGTCACGGCCATTGCTTGGCCAATGTGCTCTCTGTGAAAGCCTGAGAGAAT